TTAGTTTACACTCGAAGTAGATTGGTCTATCGAAGCGATATCCCAATTCATCGGTCACGACGTGACGTCTCCGTTCCCTCCTTCAGGGAACGAGGGTTACCATACGTAACCGAGACGTTTTCAGTAATATTTGTCACAAAATGAGCCTTGCTATTTTAGTCTAAGCTACACTCTTTGCAGCCTGCAATTCTTCATAAAAGCACTAAACAGAAAGGACCATCCACCAGTGAAGGTGAATGCCTATGTGATTGACAGCTCCTTTATACTTCACAAGAGAGAGAAAGATGAGCTTTCCTGCAGACAGGAAAGCCCAGACCTAGAAACAGATCAAGAAGTAAGATAATATCTAAAGGGAAAAGCCCACTGGGAGGCTCTTGAGAGGAAATAGCCCAGAGGAAGCAGGTAATAAAAAAAGACAAGTACTTTACACAATACAGAAGAGTGTGCTCTAATAACAGTCCCATCATTGCTGGCTTTGTATACTTTAAAGGGGATTGACGATTTCTAACATGAACACAGATGATATAAATTGGTTATGTTGTGATGCACTATAAATATATGGTCAATATAAATAAATAAATAAATGTGTGTGTGTATATATATATATGCATTTGTGAAAATGTCCCAAGTGAAAAGAGGCTTTTAAATGGAATTTGTAGGCTATAGAGCAGGGGTGGTGAACGTCGGTCCTGGAGAGCCGCAGCCCTGCAGAGTTTTGTTTCAACCCTAATCAAACACACCTGAACAAGCTAATCAAGGTCTGAAGGGTTACTAGAAAGCTACAGGCAGGTGAGTTTTAATTAGGGTTGGAGCTGTACTCTGCAGGGCTGCGGCACTCCAGGACCGGAGTTCGCCACCGCTGCTATAGAGTAATGTGAGATCATGTGAGATGTAATCACAAGTGTGTGTTAAAGGATCAGCTTCAAAGAATTTCTCATAGTCGGTTAACTGTAATAAGTGCCGCTTAACTGTAGTAAGTGCCGCTCAGCATAGTGAAGTGTATTGAGAAGTCAAACTCTCTCTAGCTCTCATCTGGGCTTCCATACACTCAAGCAGAAGTTTTCTCAAGTCTCTGTCATGAGTCCAAGTCAAGTCTAAAGTTTAAGACTCAACCAACGAGATAAAATCCAGATGAAACCAAAGCAGAATTGTGGGTCGTGCAGTAGTGAATACCTGAATCAGTGTTACTGAATGAATCAGTGTTTTGAATGAATCGGTAGAGTGACTGCAATGAAATGTTCATGAAGATAACAACTTGTTTTGTTCCTAAATTAAGTGGGTTTTAACGAATCCTTGATTTAACGTGAATCATTAAATGGCTACTGTTGCCACCTATTATCTTTTAAAAGTAATATTGTATTCATTATAAGTCTGCAAAGTAGGGACCATTCGGCCCCCAAAAAATTGACCCAAATTTTGTGCCTAATGGACAATGGGCCTCATTCATGAAACATGAGCAGAACTAATTTTGGTGTAAATCATTCAGAAAGTCGTTCTGACTTAAATTTTCGGATTCATGAAAATGTTCGTATTTTGAAAATGTTTGTTGGTACGAAAGAAATTTACACCTGCTCCCTACCACGTGTAAATGGTGCATAAAACATTCAAACGTTCTGTATTCTTTTAGACAAACTGATGACACTGCATTTTTATGCACTATGTATCGTAATGATATTTAACAAGTTAATTTGCCCTGTCTTTTTTCGGTTTATACTTTTTAACTTTTTGTAAAACGCAGAGCTCGTCACTGTCCTTTTTTACACAGCCGTCCAATCAGGAGGGACGGGACAACCACTACATTGACCAACCATCATACTTGTACAACACAACAATGGAGAAGTTAATATTGCTGGTTACTGCATTTTTATATTCAGTAATATTCTTCAAAATAAGATACTCGTAACATGTTACTGCCGTGAATATTCCAAATCATAGCAAACAACGCGTCACTCCAGAAAAATGCAGTGCCTCCAAAGCTCTCTCAAGCACCACCAGCTGGTTGTTTTCAGAAGAGCACCAGGCATTAGGCTATGTCAGCTGGCTAAAAATGCTCTTGTGGACACACGTTATTTTATTCATTTATTGTTAGGCATATAGCCTATTAGTCTCTTATGCATTTATGCAATATAACTTGCTAAACCTGAGAATTGAGTTCAAAGGATTCCACACCATTCCTAGATACGTAATTTATGTAGCTGTAATTCATATGCAGGGAATAGGCCTATGCTAATTGTGAATGAGCGTGCATGCGTGCCCTATTTATGAATGGTTGGAATTCAATAACATACACACATTTAACTATCAAATCTGACCTTTACAAAGTATTTGTGAATCCGGAGGAGAGTTTTCGGGAAGGTCCGTTTCACGCGTAAATTAATTAGAATTTACTCATATTACGAATGTTTCATAAATGAGGCTCAATGCCTGTATTAGGAGGAAATATTTCTCCTTTTCTTGTAGACCTAAAGATGTATGTTGTCTCTATTTTGAGCCCAAGTCAAGTCCAAAGTCAGTTGCTCAAGTAAGTCTTAGTTCTGTGCACTTTCAGCAGTAGAGTTCGGGGCAAGTCCAACACACAGTTTTCATAAAGTTTAAAGATGGCTACGCCATGAGTGGTTGGTTTGTCTTTGTATCTCTGCCGTTTGCTGAAGTCTTGCCCTGTCTCTCCCAGCCTTGACGGATACGGGTGACCTTGCTGTCCACGCATGGGGTGATCAGGATTAGCTTTAGAATCAGAACCACACAGGGGACCACAAGAGACAACATGTATGCTGGAGGCATCCACCACCTATATGATGACGGTTTCAAAAATCTGTCCCAGCCATACAGAAATGTGTGAGCAGTACAGAGCAGCAGGGTGATGTAGCCTAGTTTAGACTGTAAAGGAATGAAGAAAAACATCATCAAACATCATTGTCAATGTGTTTCTTTGATCATAGTTCAACATTAAAAACCTACTGGATACATTTGTTCTGATCAATACTGTGAATATATATATATACTAATGTAATATAATAGATGTCTTTCAGCTATAACCAGACAAAAAAACATCATTGTCCATATTGTATAATATTTTCTAAACTAATTAGTAAAGTATTCTCCAGTGACACTCAAACTGATGCATTTCTACAGACTATCAGTGTAATACCTGTACAAAACGGAACTCCCTCCAGTTTAGGGAATTGCTCACAGATGAAAGGGATGTAATTCCTAGTAGGACAAACAGCCCAAATCCAAGAATTCCCATGGAATAGTAGGAGTCATAACGCCAGGCTGCCATGTTGTCAAACTCATAGGTTTTATTATCTTTTACCTGCAAAACACTATGAGTTAGTTTGTTAGTTTTACCTTTTAGTCAGTTTACAATTTTTGTGTGTCTGTATGTGTGTGTGTGTCTTTGTTTTAATCTGGGCAGATGTGCACACCATTTTTACAGCTTTAATGTAGCCTGTAGTCAGGGATGGGCAGTATTTCAGATGTATTCAAAATACGTATTTGAAATACAAAATACTATTTTGTATTTTAAAGCCTTTGGCAAAAATCAAATGTAATTTGTATTCAAATAAATTTAAGATTAGTATTTTTGTATTTTCAAAATACATTAAATACTTTGTGCCAGTGAGTCAACCTCTTTATCAGGGTGCTGATTTAGTTCAGACACACCCCCTCCGCTCCCCCCAACCCCAACATTCATCAAGTGAGCTGCAGCTGTACAGTACAACTCCATTCAGCATTGGGTGAGGGACTTTTCTGGAATAAGATAAGGTGAGGATGTCATGGTCAATTGTACATGTTGATTAAAGTTAAAATAGTGCATCATTCAGATTTGCCTTCAGTTAACATGAACATGTAGCGTTATCCAATCAGTTTTAAAGGGGTCATATGATGCTGCTAAAAAGAAAATTATTTTGTAATTACTGCATGCTAGGGCTGGTTGATATGACAATACATATCGTGGCGATGATATAAAGTGTGAATCGACTGAACTTTTTCTAAATTGTTTACATAGGCCTGTGTAAACGATATAGATCGTTTAGTAAGCAAATATATTTGTGCAGCTTTTAGTGGGCAGGAATTATTGGAACGTTGGTGTGGAAAAGGAAGCATGAATGAATGAGTGATAGAATGTGCTGTGCTTGGTGCAATTGCACTTATTATAAGTATATATGTGTATGTGTCCTCTATACTTCTATGGCTCTCAATTGATTCAGTGGTTGGAGTTGGATCAATACTCCTTGACAAGTTCTGTTGCTACTTTCTGAATATGTTTCTGGCTACATTTAAAATCAAAACATATTGATCGTTTAATAATTGTTGTAATGCTAAAATGTTTGTTTTCAACTTCTAAATAGGTGTCCAATGATTGATAAATAAATATTTGATTGCTAAATATTGTACCCTAATTGAAGTAGCCGTTTAGTAGGATCATGATTTTGCATACCATTGCATGAATGACTGCCTTACACATAATATATTATTATATTTTTGATTAACAATCAAATGATTAATTAGTTAAAAACTAGTTGCTATGAATACAGGTGCCATCAGTTGTCTTCTTATGAATGACTTGTATGTCATTATGTCAGTGTTGATGATGCAAAGTAGGCCCTTTGTTACCAAGCACCAAGTAACTAAATTAGGATACAAATATGAGTCATTCGCAAACTGTTAAACATTAAAATGTTAGTTACTTTAAAACTAACCTTCATCTGGGAGATCGTCACGGTTACGTATGGTAACCCTCGTTCCCTGAAGGAGGGAACGGAGACGTCACGTCGGATGACCGACGAAATTGGGGATCTCGCTTAGAGAGACCAATCTACTTCGAGTGTAAACTAAACGAGCCAATGCACATTGGCATGCGATTATTGCATCCAGCTGCCGTTGATCACAGCGTGAGTATAAGTAGGCAGCAGATGCAGCGCATATTCAGGTTTTCACTGAGGAGCCGAGCCGGTGACCCGGCCGCTCAGCGGTGGTACAGGAGCTGTGGCGACGGGACGTGACGTCTCCGTTCCCTCCTTCAGGGAACGAGGGTTACCATACGTAACCGAGACGTTCCCTTTCAGTCGGTCACTCCCGACGTCATGCTGCCTACGCTGTGATCAGCGGCAGCTGGATGCAATAATCGCATGCCAATGTGCATTGGCTCGTTTAGTTTACACTCGAAGTAGATTGGTCTCTCTAAGCGAGATCCCCAATTCGTCGGTCATCCGACGTGACGTCGAGAGTGACCGACTGAAAGGGAACACAGGGATATGTGAATATTTTATCTGTTCACAGGTTGCATATGTCAGATTTATTGCATGACTCGGGCAGAGAAAAGCTGTTGCTATCAAACATTGTCAGTGTAATGGTGAAGGGATAGATCAAATAGGCCAACTGATGGAAGGTTTGCAAAGAACTTTCATGCTCCCTTGTAAAAGTAATTTTAAAATACAACATACAGTAGTTTATTTTGATACTTGGTGTGGCTGCTGTATTTTGTAGTTTATTTTAATACACTAAAAATGAATGTATTTGGTATTTTATTTTAAGATACATTTTGATGTATCTTTGCCCAACCCTGCCTGTAGTAAATAGGAGCTGTAAAGTCATCAAACAGCATTTGCAACTCAATTTACTTTAGTAATGTGACGTTATTTATTAGTGAAACAGGATCTTAAACAAGAAAAAAATAAAATAAATAAGGGCGGGACTTAATTTGATTAACTCAGGAATTTGTTGGATCTTAAAAAGTGGGCGTTCCATATATGTCTTGACGTCAGCCAGGATCGAAATTTAGTGGATTATATTTTTTATAAATGTGCAGTAAGTGATTTCTGAGAAACACTGTTGATATTTAAAATCACCAAAACTAAAAGGATCGTATCCCTAGCGGACCCCTATCTAGGTCTGCTGCCCCCAAATTCACTAACATGTTATGCAACACAAGGCTTGTTCAAGATGCATAGATGCTTGGATTTGGGCGTACATCAAAGTACAGCGAGAGCAGACGACTCTTTATGCTTTTGAATTTTTTTTTTTAAAGAAAGAAAGAGCAATTTTCACAATAATACCAGTAATAACCTATGTAGGCCTATTAAGAAAATAAATGGTGAAAAATGTTTGTTTTGATTTCAAGAAAGTTAATTTTGGTTTCGTATTGATTTTAAAGAGCTTTTTGGTGGTAAATGAACTATAAGAATAGTATTCTTAAAAGTATTTAACTTACCAGTGATATAGTGTAGACATTTATCCTGTAGCGTACATAGTATCTGATGGGTATAACTAAAGTGTAGAGAACATGTAGAAAACCGAAGGCCAGCGCTAGCAGACCCAGCTGCTTCCTGCACAGCATCCAGCGATCCAACCAATCAGGGAAGCGACGGTACTTAGTGCCATTATAAAGTTGCAGAAATCCAGCCAACGCGCCCGGCAGGTAACAGAAGGACAGCATCACCAGAGAGACGATGGGAAAGGCCTTGTTGGCCAGCGAGACCATAATTCGAAAAGCGATGTCTTTACCATTGGTAACACGCTCATAGATAACATCTCTTGTGAGCGTGTAGAAGAATATGAAAGCTGTTAAACAAATGGCAATGTTGAGAGGAAGTCTCCAGAGAGGGAAGAGTTGCAAGGGCAGATCTTCTAAATCAGCAGCCGCCCGGAGAGAGCCTCTGTCCACGGCAGTGAAACCGAGACTTTGAGCAATGTCCATCAATTGCTGTTTAGCATTAGAACAGTCTCCACAGAGAAGTACCTAATCAAATGATAATCACATTTAATGTTAATTTTTACATATAGTCATAGATTCTTAAGATTTCAAGTTTAAATTGACATTAATTTATTATGAATTAACAATACTATATTTGTAAATTCTAAACAGTAACCTAAGTCGTTCATGGTACCTAATGTTTACCTTATTGTAAAGTGTTACAACAAAAACTACTCAAGCAGCAAATTATTTTCAAGTGTTTTGATTATTTTTGACTTATTCTAACAAGTTTCCATTCTGTTGACCTACACAACCTTTTGAAACAAAATGCCCCTTTAATAGTTTCAGACAGCAGTGAAATATCCTCTGGGAATTAAATTTAGTTCACAGCAATGCGCAGTCTGGGCCTAACCAATACAATATGTTGTCACAGTTGGCCTTTAGAAAAAAGAGCAAGAAATTATAATCAAAATGAGAAATAATAACAAATAGACTGCTCGGCCGTGTGTGACAATTCATTTTTATTGAGAAACACACAAACAGGTGTCAAAGAACATACGCACTAACATAGCGATAATAATAGTTTGCCAGAGCTCAGATTCCATCTGGCCAGTTTCTCAACCACCACCTGCTGATGAAAATATGACTTTCCTACATAAAGACTCTATCGCTAAGAGGGAGATGCTTGCCTCATTTCACGAACAATGAACTGCTAAAACAGAGCATTATGACATGGACACAGACATTTATACATACATTAATGGCTCTTTTGTACTGTGTAGAAACACAGTGTTTGTTTTTGTTGGATGATATATGTCATCCAGCTGCCTTACAGTAGAGATGAAGTACAACAAATATGAAGTGCAGTGGTATGCCATTTGTCATGTCTGATTTGTCTTTTTGTTTATATTATAATGACAAAAGCTCATACAAACACCTTCATTCAAGGCTGTTTTGTGAGACAAGTCTGTTAAGCTTGATTCATTCAATTTTAAACAGCCCTGTTCAAAACAGCTTCTCTGTGCTTTGCCACTTGTTGCTTAAATGATTAACAACATTTTGAAAAATTTGGGGACTCATGCATGAGAATTTCGGTCTTATTCATTTTCTCTCACTAATTTTAAAGCTCTTTGATTGCTTCGTCTGAACAAAATGTGTTTATTTTTGTGAATTTGTGGAAGCATGAAACAATATTACATTCATTTACTTGTTTACATTTATTTACATGTTTTACCTGCCTGTTAGTATATTCTGTCCACCTGATTGAATTGTGTTTATGTGTGTGTGCGTGTGTGTTTTACCTGTCTGTTGGCATCTAGTCCTCCAGACTGCAGTGCCCAGGCAGAGATGATGTTGAAAGCTTTGACTACCGTCGCCCCTGGAACCAGCCTGCTCAAGTATTCTGCATTGGATTCTGGGTACAGACCCCTTCTGAGATTATTGCTGACGTCTACCAGCACCTTTCCCTCAAGATCTGAAGCCAGGGAGCTCAAAAATCCATAGTGCTCCCTCTGCACAGCCACGAATACCACACGAGCTTCACAAGCTGCTTCTGCATGAGTCATGACATTTGACCCCTTAGGCAGCAACAGAGAGTTTTTAGGGCCCCTGGATCCATACACAACATTGTATCCTGACTGGAGCAAACGGAGCCCCAGTGAGCATCCAAAATCACCCGTTCCAAAGATGCACACTGTCTCCGGTTTATGCATCTTTTCACTGAGATCTGTCATTGCAACCGAGTCTGAATTCATTTCTAAAAAATAAGAGATGACACCATACACAGTAAGATAAATAAAGTTGCACTAAAAACGTGCATTAAAAGAACACTATTATATTTAAAACTACACTTTTCATTTCAGATTTGGTACAAGTGCTGTGGCTGTAGATGATTATATTTCTGCTTGAGTTATTTAAATGCTTGTTTTTTTGGGGGCCACCACAGGCGATGATGGTATAATCAAATTTGATTATGGTCTGCACACAGTACATTTGGGTGCACCAGTTAATTTATGGTTTATTTTGTTACTTTAAAAGTACATAGGCTGATATATTGCAAAATACACACTGATTACAACCTAAAGGCAAAAGACTAAAACCTAAATAATCCTAAATTTTTTTTTAAAAGAATCAGCAAATTAAATTAAATTAAATTAAATTAAAAAATAAAATAAAATAAAATAAAATATGCTAAGAAGAATCAACAAATGCTCACCGATAAAGATGCAAGAAATTAATTTTCAGGGAATTTCAGCCCCAGTCTCTGAAAAATCCACTGATCTCTTGTAGAACCAGATCCTGACTGTTGAAATCACTGACTAAGAGTGTGATTTTATTGCAGATTTTCTGAATCGTCTGTGCCAATAACGGTGTTCATATCCCCAAAAGCTGTTTGGCAATGCAATGTGATAATCAAAACCAGCTTTTACTCTTATTCTTTAGCTTTTCCGTAATTTCTCTTTTATCCACTGGCGTTTCTTTGCGGGACTGAGGCTGTTTCTCGCCTGTTTATGAGCATGTGTGTGTGAGAGACATTTATTATCCTGTGACCTGCCCACAGCTCAGTGGGAGGTTTAGATTTAGGAAAAGAGAGAGAGGCTGTTTTGGTAATGGATAAAGTCCAATGAGGAAATTCCAGAGCAACTGTAACTGTGTGTGCGTGTGTGTGTTGAAAGGCACAATGTTTGCTTGGATTTATCTCCGGTGTGTTTTGAGGCCAAGGCCTGCCTGGAAGTAAGTTGCGCAACAGTCTGGCCAATCTCAACGCTTCAGAAACACTTTGTTGCACTGAATCTGCACTGTTCTGCTAGAAATCAAAAAGGAAAAAATATTTGTCTGTTGTTTGTAAATTCACCAAGAGGACTTTCCATAAACAGAGTGAGCTTTTATTTTCTTCATATGCTTCATAAAAAACCAACTTGTGTGACATACTGCTCCCAGAATCTTGAATGATACATTGAATACAGTTATCACAGCATGTATGATCTGCTGCACACCTCCACCCATCTGCGAAACCCACCGGATGTGTCATCTACCAGCAATAAGCATGTGGAGATTATTTATGATGATGTTAATAGATCAGCGGACCCCTAGTATTCTTATTAGGGCTATCTTACTGGGGTTAAGACTTAAGCGGCGCAGTCACAGCATGACTCCAGTCCTGCATGATCAGCAATACATCATGTACTGTAGCTCCTTATTACTCCTACTCTACTGGCTGAGAGCTGAGAGACTTAGTTCTTTGTCATTTATAATTATAATTGCATGTGTATACCTGCAGTCTGGGCCACCCTCAACGTGCCTCTCCTGAATAGGAGTGTGTGTGTTATGCTATGCAAGCATGAGAAATGGAATCCAGATGATTGTTTTCTAAAGGATGTTTTGAAGGAAATGTTGACCCAGATCTAAATATGCACACATGGTTCAGGTATGCACGGGATTGGTGTATTAAAACATATGTACAGATGTACAGATATTCATGTATGGATGACACAGAACGTTTGTGGTTTTAAAGGAATATTCCACATTCAGTACAAGTTAAGCTCAATCTAAAATGGTTGTGGAATAATGTTGATAACCACCATTTTATTTTGACTCACCTCCTATATATAAAATAAAAAAATCTTTAAAAAAAGGCACTTACAGTAAAAGTGAATGAGGCTAGTTAAAATACTCACCGTTTCATTAATATATCCATATATTTTATTTTAATGTGGGGAAAAATAACTCCATTTTCTGTAAAGTTATGAAAAAATTGAATTTTACTACTTTTTAGGAACACCTAAAACCCTAAAATTATTTTAAAATTGACATAACAAATCTTACCTTGCACAGGTTTTAATAGAAGAATCAATGTGAGTGCTTTTCATTCAGGTTCACATTTCTGTTGTTAGGTCTTCCAGAAACTGCCCCCTGTTTACTTCCATTGATGGATCACTGTAACTTAGCATAAAGCATAAAGAGTTCTTTATTTGCTGCAGGTGCTGGTGGGTGTACAGTGAAGGCTTATTGAAGATTGGAACTGAAGACAGGTAAGTACTCATACATGGAGAGACAAGACCACACAAGGAAGAAGTGGAGAGTAACTGCTCTTATACAGGTCTTGATGAGATCATCTATGGTAGGTGTGGTGATGGCTGACTGAGTGCAGGTGTTGACCAGAGGGGATGCTGGGAAATGTAGTTCCCAGTGGACAGGGCTGGCGACTGAGGAGAGTGAATGGACTGGGGACTGTGACAGTGCCTCAAATGCTTTTGATCGAACATAATTTGTACTGAACCCAGAATTTTTTTTCTGGGCTGCAAATATGGTGGTGAGAATCATTCTGAAAACTTGTCCGAAAAGAAAGCATCTGAAAATTTGCTGTTCCTGTTCCAAACTCTAAATTGGATCATGGTCTGTCTATTTGTGAACTCAGACATAATTAAATACAGTCTCAGCCTCCTAGCTCTCCCAGCCATGAGCAGATCTTCTCATTTGCATCTGGAAGCATAAGGAAATAAAACCAGAGGAACTCAAAGGGAAAAAAAGGGCAAATATGATATTTGGAGGACACTGGCCAAAACATTCAGTAATTTCCGAGTTGTCAACAGGAAACGCAGAGGCACAGCAGTGATAGTTTCCGCAGATAAAGAAAGAAATGTTTGTTATGATGCCTGGTAAACCAAGGACAGAAATGGAAGGCTAATGGTTTTATGCAGAAATGACAGGGCAGATTCTCAAAGAAAATTGCAGAAGTTTTTCAAGGAGAATTCTTCAAACATGTGAGCACAAAGGCAAGACAATTTTCACAGTGACCAGAAGTCAGCACCTATTTATATTAATTTTAGCCCCTAACATTAAAAATATTTCATTGTACAAAAGTATACATTAGTACTGGATACAAATACCTGGGGTTATGATTTATGTAAATATATTTTACTGACCGTTTCAACTGATTCACCCTAATTTTTATTTTTGAAAACATGTTCATTTGTTCAAAGACATTAAAGCACATTTTGAACCATTTCTTCTTGTAATGTTTTTTTTTTTCCCTGAACCAAAATAGAGATGCTCTCTTTTGTTCTCTCTCTCTATCACACACAAACAGATGTATTTGGCATTCATAAGCTGGAATATTTAAGGTCATGTCCCAATCCCTCAACCCTCTTTGGCACCTCACAACCCAGAACATTTCCCGCTCTCCTCCTGTGTTGAAATCTGGGGTTTATTTGGTTCATTAAATACAGAATGTGACATCATCCGAATGCGTTCTTTAATTTTAATCCACTGTTGCTAAACAGTGTGTGATGGCATTATTGCATATGAAGAGTAATCACACGGATGATATTTACTCACTGTGGGTTTTAGACTGACGTGATGGGACGGATTTACATAAAAAGAATAAGAAGAAACATGGTGGCATTTTACTCTCTGACAGCTTGATGAACATGGGAGTTCATTTGCACATATTGTCATGTTTTTGAAGGAGGTATCGGGAGAATACAGCGTTTATTGTGTGAAGTGTTTACTGACTGTTATCTTCTTACATAATTGATGTGAAGAGCTGGAATTGCTTCCTCTGTTCTGATACAGTTTTTGACTCACAGATAGAGACATCAGAACACAACAGATTTTTGTCAGAATATGTCCTTCCTGGCTTCCGTCACTGAGCAATTCCACCTTATAAATTCCCCCATTTGTTTTGTATGAGTAGAGAATGTTTGTGAGAACACAGATGACCTCTGGCTAGTAATCTGTATTTTGAGTATTTTGAACTGTGTACTGTGAATTCCAAGAACTCCACTACAATTATTGGTGTTTCTTTCCATACTGCGGTGGGAGATGATCCACAGGAACTTAATTTCTGTCTTTAAGACACTCACAAATTGTGCTCATGTATATATTCTCTGGTGGAAGAAAAATATAGAAGAACAAGGAAGGGAGAGAGCATGGAAAGAAAAAAATATTGCAAAAATCTCAATTGCATCTCCTATACAACAACGGGAGAGCAAATGGAGACTTTTCTTGTGCTTCTAGGATATTTTCTATTGAGAAAAATACCCAAGTATTGTAGTTTCAGTCGAATTTCTGAAGAGATCTCAATAATAATATAAACTATTAGTAAATGTGTGTGTTGTGAATTTGTCTGCATGTGCTTTGGGGGTTTTTTCCCCCAAAGACACAAATCACAAAACGTATGAATCAGTCTCCTGCTTATTCAGTTCTGTCAATTTAAATAGTTTTCAAACCACAACAAAACATAAATAGTAATAAAATAATTCTTAGTTTTTTGGTTCTTCTCTGTTTTCACTCAAATAGTTATTTTGTCTGACAGGCTATATTCAACTATATATTCTTTTACTTTTACTTTTACTTTTAGTCATTTAGCAGACGCTTTTATCCAAAGCGACTTACAAATAAGAAAATTAATTAAAACTAAAACCTAAAACTCTATAAATACTATATATACACATTTAAGAAAAAAAAAAAAAAGACAAATGCATATAACATTTCAAAACTAAACATTTAAATGAAAACAAAAAAATAAAGCTAAAAACAATTCAAAATAGTAAAAGAACAAAAGGTATGAGAATAATAATGATTCTAACATAACACTAAGCCAAACACCAAAAAACAACTACATATGTGTATGTACAGCCACACACACATACATATACATGTACATATATATAAATACATCCAATATATATATATTATTTCCATTTTGTATGTTGAAGTACTGAAATAACTCAAATTAAATAAAACTAAAACTTAATAAAAAACCTATATAGACATAATAAAAAACTAATAAAATGACAACAAAGGAAAAATTGAAATTGCATCATATGACCCCTTTAAAGAAACTGCTACTGCAACCTATCAGCCATCAGTGCTTCTCAAAGTTGTGGGCCGTGCCCCCTAGAGATCTGCAGAGGTCACTTCCTTACATTTCAAATTCAAATTGCCACATTGATACAAGCAGGGTCGGCGCCAGAGCGCACAAAGTGAGCAGACCCCCTGCTTTGTTTCTGAAAGTAATTTTCAGATGCAAGGGGGAAAAAACGGGATAAACACAAACATGAAACTTGTAAATAAAACCCCCGTGGCGCCGACGCTGGATACAAGAGAGAACCAATGACGTTTGTGCGCAGTTTCTTCCGCTCCTCCTTCTTCTCCTTATATGGTATAGTATACTTGTGTAATGACGTTTGTAGCCTTGTCCAAATACCCACACTTGCAGTCTTTGCACTTGACCACTTGATTACTTAAATGACGTATTTCCTGTATTTGGCCGAAGTCTTCAAGTGGGTGTGAAGACCACAAGTGTGTCGAACTTTTCATTACCTGATGGGACACACTTATAGTGTTGTAAAAATGCAAGTGTTTACAGAGATTTATTTTAATTTGAATTTGAAATACTTTGCATTTTAAAATCAACTTCTAAAGTCTGTTCAGTAGTCCCTATAACATGACATACTTTTAATTTGTGGTGCTTCTAATTAAGTGA